TTAACTTGAGTTTTTCCAACTTAGTTTTAATCCTTCTACAATTCTGATAAAAAAATGTTATTTTATCACTTAAGTATTGGCTAAGTTCTCTAGTTCCTGTTGAAAATTTATGCCAGTGGGATTTGGAGAAGTAAGACTAAGGACAGATGGCAATTCTGTTTCGGAGAAAGAAGTGTTGAGACCCTCAACAGATGAAACACTTGAAAGGTTAATTGACGGGGGAGAGTTAACTTTATCACTTTGTGTACCATTTGCATTCATGTTTTGTTCAATATTAATGTAAATCAAATTTTTTTATCCGAGGAATTTATAGCATTAGAAATTAGTCCCGATAGCTTTGAATTTGTATGCTTTCTACCTAGTGCATTACTACTGTCAACAACTGGAATAAATATTTTAACTTATTATTGAACTCACAACATTTAAAATAATTCTTATGATATATAGGTGTAGATAAGACAGCAACATTAGTATGCACGCACAGCTTTAACTTACTTACGTACAAATATACTAGCCTAGAGGTTTTATTATTATAAAAATCATTATAACCTTCTAAAATAATTATATAGTCGTTTTGATTAGATTAAAATATTTGGTAAAACGCGTTATATTTTCCAAAACGTCTTCAAAAAGAGCAAACGGTTTGATGATACATTGTACCTCGTATTTAGAAGAATCCAGCTCATCCCTCAGTTTGTTGTCCAACCCTCTGCCCATCTGATCACAAAGCAATAATATACCATTTTTCAGGGGGAATGTAGGATTCTGACGATTTCTGACTTCTTGAGAGATTAGGAGAGGAAAGTTCGAGGGAAAGTTCGTCAGAAATGTTCATTGTGTCTGATTTTTTTTTACTCCTTGAATTTATTTTAAAACTTTTAGAATTATTTTCAACACTCTTTATCTGCTCTTTGGTTTGCGTACAAATATTAGGCTTTGACATATTAATTTTCAGAGTCAGATCGTTTATTTTTTTAACATACATATCTTGAGCATCGGACAAAAAACTGATTTTATATTGAAAAGCTAATTTGGAGTTATTTAGAGCCATGATCTCTTTTTCAAGTGTCTTAATTGTTGATATGTGGGTATTTAGCTCTTTAATGAGGCTCTGATTGAATTTTCTTACATCAGCCAGTTCCAAGTTGACACGTTTTAACTCCAATTTTTGAAAATCAATCGTAGATAAATAATTATTTTCAGCATCAAAAACCTCATCATCCAATGTTTGAGTGCGTCTCTCGAGGCGATTGATATGACTATCCTTCATTTCATTTTCCCTTGTCAGTCTATCAATTTCCTGTTTTAAGTTTGCTTTTAAATCTTCGATGTCTGTTTCAAGATTGCTGATATATTTTTCCTTTAGAACTAATTTATCACTGAGCTGATCATAATGTTGAGAAAGGTTATCAATCTCCGGAAAACAAGCTTTGCACTCCATATAAAAGAATAGGAGGGATTTGTTTTGCAATAGAAGCGCATCGGTTTCAGTGATGGATAGGTTTCCACAGTCTTTGCATATAAATCGTTTGCATCCATCACAGTTACATCCAAAGAGTTCACCCTCCTTGGAGTTGGGACGTCTCGAAAATACATCCGGTTAGCCAGTGGTTCCCAACCTTTCTTGGGTCACGACCCTTTTTCAGATTTTCTTATGAGGTCGCGACCCCCTCTAACCATTAATATTTTGTAACTAAATACAAAAAGTCAATTTTTATTTTATTAATGGGATGACTGAGCTTGCACCTTCGTAACAGGTCTTGAAATTTGTGGTCCAAAGCCAACCTTATGTGATCTTTTTCTGATTTGCAAAAGAATTGAAAAACCACTTACCACTTTCACGAAGGTAGGGAAGTAGAGGCAAATGGTATTACTATCCGGAAAGAAAGCAGGGCGACATAAGGATATGAACTATGCATGACAAACCAAAATTCAGTCAAGGATTTTTCCTGCAATAGGGCAGATGTTGTAGAATCATTCTTCAGCTCTAAAAATTTACCCTGGAAAATTTATCAGGAATGTCGGCAACATCTAACGAGGCAAGAAACGATGAGTTTCTCACTACTGCAGCTTTATGTCCAGATAGCTCGGGAAAATAACGCTGTATTTCATCCTCAAGGGTTGGAAGGTTCAGCCATTATGCATAGGTATGTTCAATAACATTCGAGTCACCACCTGTGCTTTGCGCTTCGTCCGTAAATGCAGAAAAATATATATTAATATTGGCATTGCGACCCCTACAGAAATCCTATGCGACCCCATAGGGGTCGCGACCCACCAGGAAGCCATCAAGGAAGCCATATTTGCCACAAAAGTTGATTAAATCAAATTAAATTTTAAAGTTAAAAAGTTGCTCAAGTCAAAACACAATTTCAGGTTCATTGATCTCCATGACCAAATATTTATATTATGTTTATATTTATATTAATGTAATTATTTGAACACTATTAACGACAAAAAACAATAAATTTCAGAAGCGTAGGTACATAGGAGCGTACATAGTGGCGGTATACGGAACAACAATATACAATACGGAAATACAATATAGAATGAAATATAGGGCAACCCATTAGAAAAAAGCTGGAAGCATGCAAAATATTACTTTTCTGACATTCAAATTTTGTTTCTGACCATGCTTTCTAAAAATTCAACCAAAACTGTACAACTTTTGTGTTAACACTTTTCTTCTACCTGTAAAGGTAAAGGCTGTAAGTGGGGTGCCAATACAAAAAAAACACCCTGTACCTCAGTACTAAAACGATGAAATTTCAATTGTTTTTTCGTTGAGTATTTGTGTCCTGATGGTCCTTTGGGATCCCGCAAACTCCATACACTAAATTATTATGTAATTTGTAACCGGATTCTATGGAAAAAGGAACGCAGAAAAATGAAAAAATTGATAAATCACCCCAAATTACTTAACACGATTTTATTTCTGGAACTATTATAAGTCCACATGAGCTGAGATTTTCAGGCATTGTAGTTCCCTACTGGGATAAGAATCGCTGAAAATTTCAGCTTTTTATCTTTAATGAAAAAAAAGTTATGACCTTTCAAAGTTTTCCAAAATCTAAATCATAAGAAATTTCAAAATTTATTTTGTGTAGATTTTATGTCCTAATGGTCCTTTGGCATCCCCCAAATTCCATAGGTACACTAAATTATTCTGAGATTTGGAGCCGGATTTCATGAAAAAAGGCACTTTGCTAAATCACCCAAATTGCTTAACACGATTTTATTTATTTCAAAATTTTCCAAAATTTAAATCATAAGGTAGATACGTATGTAGCTACCTACCTATAAAGATAACTCAGAATAGTTATTTATGATATAAGTGTTAAAAGTACATTTTTAAGGCACGCATGTGAAAGTTTGCAGAATGAGCGAAGCGAATTCTGCAATTCACATAAGTGCCTTAAAAATACTTTTAACACAAATATCATACAATATTTTTTCTACAAACGGCAATAAAAAGCAATAACCACTAACAAATTGGATTTTTAAATGAATAATAAATTGGAAGCATCTTTCCTACATAAAATTCTTGAATTTGACATTTGTCAAAAAATCCATACAACCTGATACAACCAGCACCTTGTTTTACAGGTAACGAAATGTCTTGTCAGTTTCTTGAAAGTCTGTCGTGGTCAGATACAGAAGAAACAGAGGGTTGCATCGATCCTTCGAAAAATATAGATGAGGCGGCCAATCGGGCTACCTCAGTTGTTCAAATTTCACCATTAATATCAATGTAAATAACTGAAAATACAAACTTTTTTTGACGTCCGCTCTCAAAATTTGATGTTTCACTTTTAACACTAGTGCTATAAAGACTTTATGGCACTAGTGCGATAAAGTAACATTTTTAATGCTTCGGGGCCGTGTTAAAAATTGCATTTTTAACACGTTTGTAGAAAAAATAACTTTAAATATTTGTAACAAATTCTAGTGAGTTTAGGTTTCCAAGTTGGCAAAACTGTCAACCGAAAGTTAAAAACAATAAGAAATTTTAACATATGCTATGAATGAATTTCTATAGAAATTAAGTTGGCATTTTTAATCAATTCATTTTTGAAAATTGGAAATTAAAAATAATTTCATTATTTATAATAAATATTGTATCTTCCTACTTAGAAATTGTATTGTTATTACAGTAGGAAAAAACATATATTACATAGGTACCTACACTCAACATAAAAAGTGATTTATTTTCAAATGAAAATCATAAACACTGAGCATTTTACCTACATGTTCTAAAAATATTCATAGAAGTCTCTGGCCTCTATATTATAGTGCATTGCTATCGTTTTCCATTTTCACTCTCAGGAGTTTTTAATATAGAAACGTCACTGTAAGACAAGAATTTTTTTTTTCTTTTAACTGCCTCATTCTTCATTCTTTATTCTAAAAGACTGTAGGTACTTGAAATTCAATTAGACTTTTACATCTAAAATTCAAGTTTTCAAGAATCAATTTGTTTATATAAGAATCAGAATTTGTAATTCAATTATAAAGGCTTGTTCCTATTGAAAAGCATTTCTAGCTTTATTTTACACAAGATTCTTGTCCTTTAGGACTAAAGCAATAAGGCAATAATAGCCTCCTTTCATATCAAAATGAGAAATTTGAAACCACTATTTACTCAATCACAACAGTTTACATAAAATCCTCTAGCATAAACACAAAATCAGAAGAATCTCGAGATTTCTATTAATAAAACAGATTCCCTCGTATACCTACTTACATATACGTTTTCGAAAGAGTGTAGAGAAAACCCATAATAAAGGCGTGGGTGCGTTATGGAAATAAAGTCGAGCAACCCGCTATAATAAGTTTTCCTATCGGGTTGCCTCTGGAACAAGTTTCCAGTTCTTCTTCGGCTTTCGGCACGGTTCAAAAACTTAATTCGAACAACAACAATAATAATTATGGTAAATTTTTGTGTAAAATTATTAGTAAAAATCCATAGTACTTATTTTTGTTCTTTTCTTTTTTTTTAGGATGAACTCCCCCCAGAACAGATCGCCGGTAAGTTATAATTATTATATAGATATAGTTTTTTGGCACTAGAACAATAAAGTATTTTGTATAATTATTATTCAAAGTTGGCATTGGAAAATATGGTTTGTTTTCGAAAATAACGGTTCTGCCTTTACCACAGACAAATAACTAATTACCAGTGCATTATTTTAATGACTTTATAAATCAATTAATTGGTAAACAGTTTAATATTAGGTATATCTAATAATAATATTCAATAATCTACGACGTTTTTAGTTTTAGTCATTGATTTTTTAATAAGTATTGCCTTTCTTTCTTTTTTGTAGTTTATTTCGTATTTCTTACTGAAATTATTTCAGTTTTTTCCTCCCTTTCCTGGCTTTTTCCAAACATTTTTTCGGTCTTTATTCAATTTTATTATTGAAATTATTGAAAATCAACTTGCAAAATCTAAATTAAGCAAAACTGTACCCTCTTACATTTTAATATTTTTCTGGAAAACTCCTGGAGGGAAACTTGTGAGACTTTAAGGAGAAAAAGTAAGGAGTTTATTATACTAAAAATTGAAACTTTTTCATTAAAAAATAGTTTTATGAGATTTTTTTCTCAGAAACTCTGTTTTCATTTGAAGTTTTCATGAGTCTTTGAAATATTTCACCAATCCTCAGGTTTCTTTTTCAATCCGCCCATTTTCTGACTTTTCTTCCATGTATTTCTAGATATCTATACTTTAAAAGAAACAACCAACAACCTTAATGGATATTTATTTCCAAATTTTTCCTTTCCTTTCACAACTTTTCTAGTTTTTTCGTTGTAAGACATGGAATTTTAAAAAAATTCAGTATATTTTTCTTTCATCCCTCATAGTGCTCCGTAAGGCTTTTGAAGCCTTTGACAGCCAGAAATCCGGCAGCATCCCCTGCGACATGGTAGCCGACATTTTACGTCTCATGGGCCAACCCTTCGACAAAAAAATCCTGGAAGAACTCATCGAAGAAGTTGACGCTGACAGTAAGAGAACTTCACTCATCACTTTTAAAAAAAAAACATCTTCAATAATGAATCATTTTCACAGAATCTGGACGTCTTGAATTTGAAGAATTCGTCACTTTGGCAGCTAAATTCATCGTTGAAGAAGACGATGAAGCCATGCAAAAAGAACTGAAAGAAGCTTTTAGGCTTTATGATAAAGAAGGTAAGAAAATTTATTGTTATTTATAATGTAATTTTGATGTAAATTTTATTAGGAAACGGTTACATCCCAACCACTTGTCTTAAAGAGATCCTGAGAGAATTGGACGATCAATTAACAGACAGAGAATTGGACATGATGATCGAGGAAATCGACACTGATGGTTCAGGAACTGTTGATTTTGATGGTAATTAATTTAGATAATTTAAAATTAAGTTAGATTTGTTCAAAACTTTTTCTCAATATTTCCTATACAGCATTTGGTTTCAAGTATCTAAAGTTACTCTCTTTCTTGAAGTTTAAAGCAACTTTTCTAGAATAACTAACTTTGTCATTAATCCTTTTTCAGGATTTACAAATGTAACTTTCCAAGTACTTATCCAAAATGAATTTCTTAAGTAATTTTCTTCAATAATGTCTCAAAATAGAAAATCCCATAAAGTAAAATGTAGATTTATTACTATTATAGTCGATTGTGGAACGCTTTTCCTTCTCTTGCCCGTTTTCAAAAATAGCTTTTTGATGATACACCCGCAACCAAATCAGGCCAGTCGTTCCCATTTTTTATTACTTTATTTATTTTCCAGAGTTTATTTTTGGAATTATATAATGTTTCTCCCATTTATGATTTGTTTTACAGTGTTTTAAATGGAAAAGTTATTAATTATTGATATTTTCGTTTTAGAATTCATGGAAATGATGACCGGTGAAGTTTAAGACGTCTTTTGAGGCCCTTTTTTATTTTATTTTTTTAATTTTTATGATGTGTATTTTTGTCTAGTTTAGTAGATGTCCAGTGTTTTGTGTACAATATTTTTTATTTTTTAACAAACTGATGTAACTCTGTGTAAATTTCTGTATTTAAAATTTGGTAAATAAATATTATTTTGTTATAGTTTGTTTAAGTACCTAGTGAAACTTTGCTAGTGAGTACCTACCTATGATTTAGATTTTGGAAAACTTTGAAAAGTTATAACTTTTTTTTAAAATTAAAGATAGAAAGGTGAAATTTTCAGCGATTTTTATCTCAATAGAAAACTACAATCCCTGAAAGTTTCAGTTCATTTGGACTTCCAAAAGTTTCAGAAATAAAATCGTGTTAAGCAATTTGAGGTATTTTATCAATTTTTCTGAGTGCCTTTTTTCATAGAATCTGGGTCCAAATCTTAGAATAATTTAATGTATGGAGTTTAAGAGATCCCAAAAGACCATTAGAACACAAAATCTTAACATAAAAAATTGAAATTTCATCGTTTTAGTAAGAAGGTAGCTAATTTATGATTTAGATTTTAAAAAACTTTGAAAGGTTATAACTTTTTTTCTATTATAGATAGAAAGCTGAAATTTTCAGCGATTCTTATCCCAGTAGAGGACTACAATCCCTGAAAATTTCAGCTCATTTCGACGTATAGTTCCAGAAATAAAATGGTGTTAAGCAATTTGGGGTGATTTATCAATTTTTCAATTTTTCTGAGTGCTTCTTCTCATAAAATCCGGCTTCAAATTTCAGAATAATTTAGTGTATGGAGTTTGGGGGATCCTAAAAGGACTATTAAGATACAAAATCTCAACAAAAAAAAAATTGAAATTTCATCGTTTTAGTACTGAGGTAGCTACCCTATGATTTAGATTTTGGAAAACTTTGAAAGGTCATGACTTTTTTCCATTGAAGATAGAAAGCTAAAATTTTCAGTGATTCTTATTCCAGTAGAGGACTTACAACAGAGGCGCCGACTTTTGAAAGTCCTCATGGGTGCAGAATAACTTTTTAAATTTGTTTATAGGAGGAGGGGGAAGCTCGCCGAAGGCGAAAAATATTTTCTACGAGCGTGCGAAAAATGCTTTTTTCTGCACGCATTTAGGCACTAGCGCGGAAAAGTAAAATAAATGTTAATTCACCCTGGTACTTTCATATCCTGAAATGCGAGCGAAGAAGTACCTACTTCTCCGCACGGTCGTAACAAAATAACGTTCCTTTATATATCCATGCGCAAAATCGCTTTTCCTCATTTAATTGCTACGTACACGCCCTAACTGACGTTTTGTTTCATTCATTGTTTTATTTTAGCCGCCTCTGTCAACTGTCAGACTGTAACTGTCATTACAGTTTCTGTCAACCAATTATGCGCACGAGTGAAGGCATAGGTGAGTTCCAATATTCAATCTATGAGCATCCCGATGAAAATTTTGACAGTTTTGACAGTTATCACGTGTTTAATTTATTCAAATCAATTTAAAATCACGTGATAAAATATCTATATACTCGCGAATGGATATTGGAACGCAAGGTATAAAAGTTTAGATATATCGAAAAGATTTTATCGATATTTTTTTCGATATATCGAATGTAAAATATTGATTAAAATATATCGATATATTTGAATAATATTTTGATTTCTACAAAACATCGATATATCATTGCCATCCCTATACCCACGTCCAAAACTAACTTATATGGCGTACGGCGCAAGCGCCAGACTTCCCGTTGTGGGCCGGACTGTCCTGATTATTATCAAAGAATAGAGATGGAGAGTAGCAACATAAAGTAATAGAGCATAGAACTGACCACTGAGCACAAATAATGGAAGGACAGATGGTCAGAATACCACACACACACACCATTTGTATAATTCCTATACAAAGTTGTGTAATAGTATATTCTTCAACGAGTATATAATGATGGCGAGTGGTGGAATCATTCGAGTGAATAATAGCCATTATTTGCGAGTAGTTAGTCCCGAGGTATACTATTTTATGTACTTTAGAGGATAGAAAAACTGTAAAAAAAATAATTAAATGCCACTTGACTTGGCTTGACCGTACTCTTTACAAAACGTGGTTATGATGATGACATGTCATGTGAAAAATTGACATCAACATTTTACTCAAAAATCAAAATCTCGGTGTGTTGTGACAAGTTGCTGAGATGAACAAAAGTCCATTTACGCTAACAAATTCAATCATTGTCAAAATGTAAATATCAATAAAAATTAGTAGCCTTTTATATAGTTACCTGAGTTTTTAATTCTAATATGTACTAATGCAATATTGCTTACCTACCTATTTATTTTGAAGATTAAAATCATTTTCAATCCCTTAGGGATTAAAATCGTTTTTAATCCCTAGGGAAAAAAAGTGCCACTTTAGGGACTAAAAGAATACTTTTAGTCCCTAAAGTACCTACATAATAGTACATTATATACCTAGGTAGAGAAGTTGGTCATTATATACCGAGCGCTTTTATAAACCGAGGCGCGTAGCGCCGAGGTTTATAATGCGTAAGGTATATAATGACTTTCTCTACCGTGGAATATATAGAATTTTTTTTACTACTGCTATAGTAGAAAATAAAAAATAAGTTTGAAATCTGTGCTAAAATTATTTTTTCTAGTTGGAAGTGCTGCCCTCTATCAACATCTATGGTAATTTCCTATGATACATACAGGAACCTGTTTTTTTGATTAAATTGACAATTTGAAATTGAAATTAAATCCATAGAAACCTGTAACGTTATGACAATATCCTTGCGTCATGACGTCATTTTCATTATTGACCTAGGTTTTTTTTCTTTATTTTCATTATTAACCTAGGGAGAGAAATTCAATTTTTTCCGAGAAAAATTGATTGAATAATGACTACTTCTCAGGTTAGTAGTAAAAAAAATCATTAATTTTTGTAAGAAATGACAATCATCAAAAGTTTAAACCCGCCTTAATTTTTTTAAATTGGAAGCTGATTGGAATTTTCGTGATCTGACGTCAGTTATGTTTTGTTTGTATTGTCTCGTTGCGGCCCGTGTATTCCGAAAATACGGAGAATTTGATTGGTCGATAGGCGGTGGATTCCGGTTTGGAATCCACGGGGCGTGATGAATTCATATCATTAATCAGTTTGATATCGAGCAAGAATGAATGAATGTATTATTTAATGTTCGAAGAGAAATTCAAATTACATGATACTGGATATTACCACATGGAAAGGAATGAACATTACACACGTTTGTACTTACGCATTCCCCACGAGAGCTCCCATGGGTGCTCCGCACCCATGGGAGGTTGCTCATGGGTGCACCTGCCCCGATGACCCCATGTAGTCGGCGCCAGTGGACTACAATCCCTGATAATTTTAGCTCATCCCAAACTAAAAGTTCTAGAAATAAAATCGTATTAAGCAATTTCCAAAATGTAAGGGGGCTAAGGACTAAAACTGAAGAGCTGTATAATAATGTCTTGTATGAAGACTATGACTGTATACTATTAACTGAAACTTGGCTGCCTCAAAGTTTTCAGGATGTTGACCTGGTGGACCACAGGTATAATGTGATACGTATAGGGATATCTCGAATTCACTATTTTTGTTAATAGTGCGGCAGCTTAGCTAGGATATTTCAACATATTGTGCACTTTTTGATAAAGGCATCAAATTTGACACAGAGGTGGACCGATGTAATGTTAACAAATTTTGATGTGGAGCCATCGACCAACTGCCCCCAGGCGGCCGTGGCAACGATTTTTTAAAATGACCGCCAGTTCACATTCCGGGGGATAATGGAAGTAAGATAAAGCTTGCTACTGAAGGTTTTATTGAATGTTTACTTATTGTTTTGAATGAGAACATGCCAGATGGTTTTTAAGTTATGCAGGGTGGGGCACGAAAAATTTCCCACCTAGGTTTTCTCAAGTCGCGTCTCAGGTTTTAGATGATTAATCAAAAATCCCTCGGACACGTTATTTTTTGTTTTTTTGGAGACACATTTTATTGTTATTTCCATCCTCTACCTGTCAGCCTCCAAGCGGGGGTGTCAGGTACCCGCAAAATTTCAAATGGAAAGAGGGTTCGAGTGATATGATGTACTATTTCCTAACTTCCATAAGCCGCAATTTTGGCAGGGTGAATAGTAGCAACCTAAAATTTCGAGAATAAAAATCTCCATCAAATTACGTATCATCCGACACCCTTTTCTGTTCGAAATTTTGGAGGTACCTGTCACCCCCGCTTAGAGGTTGACAGTTAGGGATTGAAAATACCAATAAAATGGTCGAGCGATTTTTGATATGAATCACCTAACACCTGAGAAATCCTGGGTGGGACGTTTATCGTGCCCCATACTGTATATACAGGGTGTCCCACAACGTTTTACCCAAGCAAATATGGCATTGCCTACTTTGTAATTTAATTTTCTAACGAAAAATGATATAATACTATCAGTTACATTCAAGATTCTAAAGTGACCGTCACTTGACCGAAATTGAAGCGAAAGTGAAATTGGATGACGCATGTAGAACCGGTACAAAAAGTTACCTAGACCCTCAAAATTTCAATTATATTGGATGACGCGTTCCAAAGTTATCATCTGGGTAAAACGTCGTGGGATACCTTGTATATACAGGGGTCGTATTTTCGAATTCATTCGACTGCATTTCGTACACGAAATTTAACTGACAGCAATGTAAATTAAATGGGAGGCATTCGAAATCACATCAAATTTCGTATGCGAGAATATTCGAAAATAAAACCTCAGGGCGGGGCACGAAAGACTTCTCACCCAGGTTTTTTCAGATGTTAGGTGAATAATCAAAAATCGCTCGACCATTTTATTGGTATTTTTGCCCGCCTACCTGTCAACCCCTAAGCGGGGTGACATATACCCCCAAAATTTAAATTAGAAAGGGGGGTTGAGTGATACGTCATTTGATGAAAAGTTTTATCAATACAACGTTATGACATTTGGTATACAGGGGGCTCTAAAAGTGCCAGATCTAAAAATAATATTTGCAACTTTGCCAGGTTTACAGTTTTTCCGATAAATCTCTCAACTTTAATTTTTTCAATGCAAAACTATGGTAGTTTTTCATTTAAAATGTTGGTCAAGCCAAAGTGTTTTCAATCCTAAAATATCAAATTTTTCTTTTGTGGTTTTGAAA